GGGGGGGGGGGGGGGGGGGGGGGGGGGGCTGAAGTTTCGTAGGGGCTGACTGACATCAGGAGACTGCCTGCTGTTTACATTCAGCTGCTGGCACAGCTAGATGTAAAAAGAATATGAGTACCTGATATCAGTTATCGCCTGAAAGGTGGCCCATAATCGGTATCAGTATCGGTTCTGAAAAATCCATATCGATCGAACCTTAATACATACATTTGTTTTAGATGTCATCGCTCAAACAAGTATCCAACGCTATCATCCGTCACAGTAGTGACATGGATAAAAGCAAAGTGCTTGTGTTCGGTTTCTAATAATACAACTTGCATTGGTGGAAAAGCATCTGAAAAAAGAACTGATGTAATCACCTACTGCCATCATATATTGTCACTATTCCATGCCCTCAGTAATAAGAAAAAGAAAGGGCCTAAGGGAAACATGAAAAGTCATTTGCTTAAGGCCAGGCTATGGAAAGCAAGGGCAAAATTCAAGTCAGCAATTTCAGCAGCACTCTGCCCCCCTCCCCCCCCCCCCCCTTTGTTTTTTTAAACACTTCTGCTTCAAAATGTAGCTGCACTCTCGGGGCACTTGCATTTATACTGTATGCCCCAGCCCTTCCTGCCAGTCTGCTTAGCTGTTGGTCAAAACCTTCTGAGCCGGGCCTGCGCATCTACTCTGCACCACCTATTCAGACCTATGGAGAGCTTGTTACTGTGCATGCGTGATACTGGCTCACAAGATTTTGGCAAGCCGCTCGGGGGCCTTGTGGGGGATATTTTGCTGGATCCAGGTCATGAGAGTATAAGATTTGCAGAAGGGAGCTACCGGTAGGAACAGGATACGGTACAACATCAGTACAGAGGTGGAGTTCTACTTTAAGATGTAACACACTTTGCAGTATTTTCTCTAATGGCAGTCTTACTAATATGCCATTCGTTTGGTTTTGTGAAATCGTACATAAAATGATGATGAAGGGAGCAATACGAGGCAGACGTTTCCAAGTTGCTGTCATTTTAAATATTTCAAATGCATGCCTTGTGTTGACAAATGATATGGAGATGACACTGACATGAGGAATATTTGAATGGGACATGAAAATATTTAGCGGTGTAATTCAGCTATATTGTGGCTGCTGACATCTGATTTTCTCTGTTTGTTTCCTACAATTCGAGTTTGTCTTGCAGGTCAGCTGTCGGTAAAAGGTTAGGGCTATTTACCGGGCATCTATTCTTTATTTAATGTGCAGATGAATAGCACGGTTAATAAAAGAATTATTGCTGGGTACTCTGACATTTATGCCCTTGGATTCCAATAAAGAATTGAAATTATGAATAGCTGATGGTTTAAATTGATGTTTTATGTTGAACACTAGCTGTAATTTGCCCTCTGAGGATTGTTATACCGAGAAACAGATGGTTTTTCAGAGTAACAAATTGCTTGAAGTATATATAGAACTGGCTTTGTAATACTTTCACCTTCAATTGCAGAGAATCAAATTCAGTTTAGAGGCTTCCCTTATGAAAAACAGTTTCATTTTTTTTTTCTTTTTAGATCACCTTATTCACCATTTACTTGTTTCATC